GCAACAAAAGTGGACTGCAGTTTAAACCTCGTCAAAGTAGAATCAGCATCCCCAGCGGGACTCGAACCCGGGTAGTGCAGCGTATAGCCTCGACATGTTAACTACCACGCACACTGCAACGAGTGTAGGATTAAAAATAAAAGTGATTTAGGAGAGGAGCAGCTGTTCCGTCACATCCACTTCACACGTCATCTGCACCTTTCTTGTCTTTAGGCCCAGTGAATTATCCTAAAGCATAGTGCTCCACTCTGACGATGTCTGTCATATGACTGATAAAAGCTCATTGAAGATTGATCAAGGTAGTGGAATAGTACGGGAAGGACTTATTCGCAGAAATCTATAGTCATCATTCCAAGGCAATCTTCCTTCAGCTCCTGGTAAGACCAACTGACAAAACTCCTTCAATAGCCGCTTTAAACGAAATGAAAGCAATGCCAAAGTATAAGGCAAAAAAAGCAATTGCAGGAAAAGGTTTAATAGATTTTTATAAACACCGTTTAGCCTCAATGTAATGCAAATAGAGCCAAATATTCAATTGATTGCTTAATTCTATTTAAACTAAGTAATTTTTAATAATTAAAGCATTTGAAAAGCAGAAAATAGATTTTAAACCCATCACTTCACAGGTTTTTCAGCATCGATTAAATGTTTGACAATATTTTTAAGTTGATTACGTCGTAGTATATGATCCGCATTATATTTTTAAGCAAGTTGTCTTTAATTCTAATTTACCTTGACAGACTCTGTCTATAATAGCCAAATACATGCAAGGAATCTACTGTATACCCAAGATTTCGTTTTAAAGTTGGTTAATATAATATTTGCCAGCATTAAAATTACAATCTATTCGAACTGAGATCGATTTCCGGATAAAACTTGACGCCTCCAAAATTAAGGATCAACAATACCTCGCTAGAAAATTCACCTTGTGATAAATCGGAGCTGACGCATATCCAAGCAATGGCAATATCCACCTCCAACAGTGCCCAACCAAAGATGTGCCGGCTCAGTGGAATGCAGAGAGTCTATCGATTCCAGAAAACCAGTGGAGGGTACTGTTGTCGCCATCGCGACTGGGCCCGTGGCATCCCGCCAAGCGTTGGGCAGCTCTAGGAAATGTGGCAACAAACGGAGTTTCTGGTGCCTGCGTTCAGATCTGCCAGATCTCCGATGGCAACTGCTAGCAAGTTTAGGGGAGCATTGAAGTGCTGATAGCGAAACTCCTTCTTGTTCACATAGCTCAATTTCTACATTTGATTGACCACCAGGTGTCACTTCGCGATAATGGTAGTCTTCATCAGTTTTAACTTCAATAGGTTCTGTATCATCTTCATCACTCTCGTCGGCCAGATAGAGGCCGGCATCAGCCTCAGCTCCTGGCTCTGGGAATGAATAGGCAGGCCGGGTGGAGGATGAAAAATGTGAAGAGGTTGATGAGTTATTCCCTTTCAGACAGTGGCTAGGAGGCCAAATAAATGTACCAAGGCGAACAGAGCCGGTTGAGCTTGAGGTCGTGAAGAAAAGCCGATTCCCGTAAGCTCTATCATAATTTTAGCCAGTAATGTGAAAGTAAAGATAATACAATATTGAGTTAGGAAAATCAAAGGAAAAATTACACTTCAGAGCACCTATTACTTACATATTCTCGTTCTTGACATAGAATGAATAGAAAATACAAAGCATACCAAAACGAAAATAAAATAGGAATACTGACGCTTTTATGTCTTAGGGAAAGAATGGATCAGAAGGGTTTTTTTGTTTGCCATTGAATACTATTCAAATTCATGGTTCTAACAAGTCAGGATACAAGATTGCCTCGTAACAATTATATGCACTATAAATGTGAATTGAGAGATCGTATTTGTCTTGAAAATCCCATCTGTCCCATGAA